GGGCCGTCTCGGGCCAGCTTCGAGCCAACTTCGGCCATCTTGGTGGGTTCCTGGCACGTCTGAAGCCGTCGGAAGCCGTTTGGGGGGCCTCTATGGGCCGACTTGGGGCCCGCTTGAATGCTCCAGGGCCGTCTTGGAGGCCATCTTGGGCGTCTTGGAGGCCATCTTGGGCGTGTTGGAGGCCTCTTGGGCCCTCTTGGGGCCCTCTAGGGGCCATCTTGGAGGCCACTTGGGCCATCATGGGCTCTCTTGGGGGCCTCTTGGGCGATCTTGGGGGCTTCTTGGGCCGTCTCGAGCCGTCGGAGAGCCGAAAAGGCGCAAATGCCAGAATCCTTCAAAAACCAATGAAAATTCAATGATTTTGGCCTCTTCGGACTCTCCTGGAGGACCTCTTGGAGGCCTCTTGGGCCGTCTGGGAGGCCTCTGGGGGGCCTCTTGGGCCGTCTTGGGCCGTCTTGGACTCTCTTGGGCCGTTTTGGAGGCCGTCTTGGACCATCTCGGGCGGACTTGGAGGCCATCTTGGGCCATCTTCGCGATTTTTTGAGGATGTCCCGAGCGAAACGGCCGTTTTTTGGAGGATGTTTTTCCGGATTGAGGTCCTTTCGGCTTCCTCCCGGGACCCCGGCGGGACGTGCCCACTGGGGGAGTTCTTTTAGAAAAAGAACCAAAACCAAAACCTGAAACGTCCAGCACGCCGTGCACCCCTGCAAGCAGGGGACGGCGGATCCAGCTGCCTACGGCAAGTCCCGCCCCCGTGCCTGGGTTTGGGTAATAAGCCTAGTGGATGTTCGTTGGAATCTCATGGCAGGTCTCTTGGAGGCAGTTTTGAGGCCTCTTGCAGCCCATTCTTGGGCCTCTTGGGGCCTCTTGGAGGCCTCTTGGAGGCCTCTTGGGGGCCTCTGGGGGCCTCTTGGGCGCCTCTTGGGCGCCTCCTGGGGGTCCCTTGGGGCGGAAGGCTCGGACTTTCGGTTCGTGTTCCCTCTCTGGGGTCCCCTTTTGGGGCGGGGCTCTCTTGGGCCGTCTTGGGGCGCTCTCAGGCCGTCTTGGGGCCCTCTTGGAGGCCTCTTGGGCCGTCATGGAAGCTTTGGGGGGCCCCAGGGAGGCGCCATGGCCGCCCAGGGACCCCCTGGGAGTATGGCCGGTGCGCGCAACGAGGTGCGGCCTGGAGAAGGGAAGGTCCCTTTACGTAGAAGATTGCAGAACCCTACCAGACAGCACTTGGCATTCTGCTCCATCAACGTGCCAGGGACCACGGTGGCGATTTTAGTTCTGCTGAATGTTTTGTTGCGCCCCTTGGGTCCTCCTGGGGTGCCCTCGACGCAGGGCGGGATCCGCCTCGAAATATCCTGGTCGGAGCGCACCCCATGAGGTCAGCGGAGGTCGACTTTGAAGCGGAGCGGATCCAGACTTCCAGCGACTCGGAAAGAGTCGCGCTAGAGGTTTTGTTCACACATGTTCGGCGTCCAGGGGCGCTTCTGGGCCCCTTGGCAGCGGCACAGGGCCCAAAGCGTAAAGCGCTTCCTGGGGCAGAGGGCGAGAGTTTCGGGAGCCAGAGACTCGAGAAAATCAGGTCGTCAGAGACGAGGCCTCGTGCAGGGCCCAGTAGGCCTTCAAGACGCGGCCCGAGGTGCCCCGAGATGGGCCCAAGGTGGTCCCAACATTGCCTCGTAGGCTCCTTGCTGGCCTCCGCGGCGGCACCTCGACGGCTCCAAGACGGCCCCAAGACGGTTCATGTACAGCCGTTTTGGCTCAAGGACAGCGTCGTTTTATCCTCTTCAACGGCTGCGTGGGCAGATAGCATCGAGTGCTTCAGACTCGCGATGCTGCTGTTGATCGTGTCTCTGCTGGGACACCCCGCGGTGCTTCTCTTTCATGCGCTCCATTGGTCCGTGGGGGGCCACTTCGACGCCGCGGCGCTGGAGGCTCTCAAGGGTCGTCGCTAACGGAGGTCAGGCCAGGCACAACTCGAGGTGGTTGCTCTCCGCGGGGGCAATCCGAATGGGCGGCGTGGGGCAGTTATTCAATTAGCACGCTCCTATGAGGACTCGCGCCGCGTGGCGCGGGGCGATGTAGTCTCGTCCCTGGTCGAATCCCAGCTCAGTGAATTCCATATTGGATATAGCTGTGTTTCTCAGCATCGATTCTAACGTAGTCGGTGCTTCCTCTACAAACGCGGGAAAATCTTTGAATTTTGTTAGTCTACATGAGGGGGCCCTGGCAGTCCTGTGAGGGCAATCCCCAACTCAGCCTCGCGATGCTGGAGTGGTGGCACGTTGTGGATGTACACCTGTCGGCGATGCTGACTTGCAGGACCACGTTCTATTGATGGTACGCCAGCCTCTGTCTCGGTGCCAGGGCTCGGCGAACCTACACGCACGGCGATCCCTCGGCGGGCCCATCATTTTTGCGTACGTCCACGCCGTCGTGGCAGTCTGGTTGTCCGGCCAGCTCATAGCCGTGGTGTGGAAGATACTCATGCCCATGATGGTCAGTTGGGACGGCTGGTCTGACGACAACTGGTCCGATGGTCTGATGGGCACGGGCGCATTCTTTTCGCAGATGTTGCTGGCGGCCTGGCTCGCTGGCCAGAGAATGAAGCTCCGCGAGGCACTCGGGGACCCGGCGCCCGAGAGTCGGTGGACGAAGGACTTCTGCTGCTATTGGTGGTTACCCTTCTGATGGCGTGCAGGAGGGCAGGCAGGTGGGACGAGATCACCAATGTTCATACCAAGTGCTGCTTCGATTGGGTGATGGAACCTGCTCAAAGCCCGTTTGCGTGGACCTTACGGCGAATGGACGGGGCCCCCCCGGGGCCGATGCGGCCCTTCAGCGTTGGTCGGACAGCCTGTGGGAGATCCCGCGGTCGCCCTGAAGTCTGGGCACGGCGGGAAGGTAGCAGACCCCATGTAGCAGCCAATCCCTGCCGAGCCCTGGCTGCTCTCCTGATCCGCTGTCCTTCCCGCGCGAGCAGTTCGTGAAGAACGCGAGTCATGGCCACCTGCCTTTTTCGGTACGCAGTCCCTCGGCGCCGCCCTAATTGGGTGGAAGCGTGGACTGGCCCGACGCTGAGGGCATGACATTTCACCTGTCCCAGCGAGATGCTCTGCCCCCTTTGCAGGCCTGGCAACCTCTCTCCGCCGGTGCCGCCGCCATGGGGCGGGCACGTCGCGCAGCATCTTCCTCGCACGTGCCAGCAGCCATCCATAAAAGCACTGGCCGCACCAGAAGACGGCCCCAGAACGGCCCATCAGAGAGCGGATGGGCCGCCCGCTCGCGGCGCGGCGCGCCGGAGGGAGCGAACGGTCAGGTCAATCCTCCTGCAAGATCGAGGCTTGGGACAGTCTCGGGCCTTTGGGGGCCTCTGGGGGCCTCCAGAGGCACGGAGCAGGGAAAATCGAGTATCCAGCTGCCTACGGCAAGTCCCGCCCTCGTGCCTGGGTTCTGGGTAATGAGCCTAGTGGATGTTCGTTGGAATCTCATGGCAGGCCTCTTGGAGGCAGTTTTGAGGCCTCTTGCAGCCACATTTTTTGGGCCTCTTGGGGCCTCTTGGGACCTTGGAAGCTCTGTGGGGCCTCGTGGCGCGCCTATTGGGCGCCTCCTGGGGGTCCATTGGGAGCGGAAAAGGCTCGGACTTTCGGTTGCGTTCCCTTCTGGTGGGTCCAGCTTTTGTGGGCGGGGCTCTCTTGGCGATCTTGGGGCGCTCTTAGGCAGTTCTTGGGCCTCTTGGGGGCATTCTCGGGCCGTCAGAAGTGGAAGCTTTTTGGGGTGGCCCCAGGGGAGGCGCCATGGCCGCCCAGGGACCCCCTGGGAGTATGGCCGGTGCGCGCAACGAGGTGCGGCCTGGAGAAGGGAAGGTCCCTTTACGTAGAAGATTGCAGAACCCTACCAGACAGCACTTGGCATTCTGCCACCCCTCAACGTGCCAGGGACCACGGTAGCGGATTCAGTTTTGCTGAATGTTTTGCTGTGCCCCTTGGGGCCTCCTGGGGTGCCCTCGACGCAGGGCGGGATCCGCCTCGAAATATTATGGTCGGAGCGATCCCCATGAGGTCCGCAGAGGCCGACTTTGAAGCGGAGCGGATCCCGACTTAAGCGACTCGGAAAGAATCGCGCCGGAGCTTTTTCCCCCATTTTCGGCGTCCAGGGGCGCTTCTGGGCCCTTTGGCTGTGGAGCAGGACTCACACTGTAAAGCGCTTCCTGGGCTAGGGGTCGAGAGTTTCGGGAGCCAGAGACTCGAGAAAATCAAGTCCTCTGAGGAGAGGCCTCTTACAGGGCCCAGTGGGCCTTCAAGGCGGACCAAGGACGCCCGTAGGTGCTCCCAGTTGACCCAAGGGGTCAACATTGCACTCGTAGGCTCCTTGCAGGGGCCTAACCACAAATTTTTATGGGGCGGCACCTCGAACGGGCCCCAGACGATCTCCGTATAGCCGTTTTGGTCATGGACTGCGTCGTTTTATTTTGTTCATCGGCTGCGTGGGCAGATTGCATCGAGTGTTCAGACTAGAAATGTTTGTTGATCGTGTCTTGTCGCCCCCCCCGCGATGCTTCTCTTCCATGCGCTCCATTGGTCCGTGGGGGGTCACTTCGACGCCGCGGTGCTGGAGGCTCTGAAGGGCGTGCTACTGGAGTCAGGCCAGGCACAATTGGAGGTGCTCTCCGCGGGGGCACCCGAATGGGCGGCGTGGCCGTATCTCAATGGCACGCTCCATGTGGACTCGCGCCGCCTTTCCAAGCAGGAAGACGCAGACGCTCCCTGGTCGAATCCCCAGTCCAGTGAATTCCAATGGATACTGGCTGTGATCATCAGCATCGTCCTAACTTATGTCGGTGCCTTCCTCTACAAACGCGGGATCGTCGACAAGCGGGGGCCCTGGCAGGGCTGGGAGGGCAATCCCCAACTCAGCCTCGCGATCGCATGGAGTGGTGGCGTGTGGAGGTACACCTGCTGCGGCGACTGCTGCTTGCAGGACCACGTCTATTGCTGGTACGCCTGCCTCTGTCTCGGTGCCAGGCTCGGCGACACCTACACGGCGGCGAACATCGGCGGGCCCGGCTATTTTGCGTACGTCCACGCCGTCGTGGCAGTCTGGTTGTCCGGCCAGCTCATAGCCGTGGTGTGGAAGATACTCATGCCCATGATGGTCAGTTGGGACGGCTGGTCTGACGACAACTGGTCCGATGGTCTGATGGGCACGGGCGCATTCTTTTCGCATATGTTGCTGGCGGCCTGGCTCGCTGGCCAGAGAATGAAGCTCCGCGAGGCACTCGGGGACCCGGCGCCCGAGAGTCGGTGGACGAAGGACTTCTGCTGCTATTGGTGGTTCCCCTTCTGCATGGCCGTGCAGGAGGGCAGGCAGGTGGACGAGATCACCAATGTTCATACCAAGTGCTGCTTCCGATTGGGTGATGGAAACCTGCTCAAGCCCGTTTGCGAGGACTTACGGCGACCTGGACGGGCCCCCCCGGGGGCGATGCGGCCCTCAGCCGTGGTCGGACAGCCGGTGGGAGCTCCCGCGGTCCCAGTGAAGCTGGGCACGGCGGGGAAGGTAGCAGACCCCAAGTAGCAGCCAATCCCTGCCGAGCCCTGGCTGCTCTCCTGATCCGCTGTCCTTCCCGCGCGAGCAGTTCGTGAAGAACGCGAGTCATGGCCACCTGCCTTTTTCGGTACGCAGTCCCTCGGCGCCGCCCTAATTGGGTGCAAACGTGGACTGGCCCGACGCTGAGGGCATGACATCTAACCTGTCCCAGCGAGATGCTCTGCCCCCTGTGCAGGCCTGGCAACCTCTCTCCGCCGGTGCCGCCGCCATGGGGCGGGCACGTCGCGCAGCATCTTCCTCGCACGTGCCAGCAGCCATCCATAAAAGCACTGGCCGCACCAGAAGACGGCCCCAGAACGGCCCATCAGAGAGCGGATGGGCCGCCCGCTCGCGGCGCGGCGCGCCGGAGGGAGCGAACGGTCAGGTCAATCCTCCTGCAAGATCGAGGCTTGGGACAGTCTCGGCTTTTGGGGGCCCCTGGGGGCCTCCAGGGGCACGGAGCAGGGAGGATCGAGTATCCAGCTGCCTACGGCAAGTCACGCCCCCGTGCCTGGGCTCTGGGTCATAAGCCTGGATGTTAGTTGGAATCTCATGGGAGACGGGAGGCCTCTTGGAGCAGTTTTGAGGCCTCTTTGCAGCCCATTTTTGGCCTCTTGGGGGGCCTCTGGGGGGCGTCCTGGGGCCTCTTGGGGGACTCTTAGGGGGACCCCCGGGACCGCCCTGGCGCCTCCTGGGGCCTCCTGGGGGCCTCCTGGGACGGAAGGCTCGGATATTCGGTTCGTGTTCCCTCTCCTGGGCCATGTTTGGAGCGTCTTGGGGCCCTCTTGGGCCGTCTTGGGGCGCTTCAGGCCGTCTTGGGGCCATTTGGAGGCTCTTGGCCGTCCTGGAAGCTTTTGGGGGCGCCAGGGAGCAGCCATGTCTCGGCCAGGGACCCCTGGGAGTATGGCCGGTGCGCGCAACGAGGTGCGGCCTGGAGAAGGGAAGGTCCCTTTACGTAGAAGATTGCAGAACCCTACCAGACAGCACTTGGCATTCTGCCACCCCTCAACGTGCTAGGGACCACGGTGGCGGATTCAGTTTTGCTGAATGTTTTGCTGTGCCCCTTGGGGCCTCCTGGGGTGCCCTCGACGCAGGGCGGGATCCGCCTCGAAATATTATGGTCGGAGCGATCCCCATGAGGTCCGCAGAGGCCGACTTTGAAGCGTAGCGAGTCCAGACTTCCAGCGACTCGGAAAGAATAGCGCTGGAGCTTTTTCCACAGGTTTCGGCGTCCAGGAGCGCTTCTGGACCCTTTGGCTGTGGAGCAGGACTCACACTGTACAGCGTTTCCTGGGCTAGGGGTCGAGAGTCTCGGGAGCCAGAGACTCGAGAAAATCAAGTCCTCTGATGAGAGGCCTCTTACAGGGCCCAGTGGGCCTTCAAGGCGGCCCAAGACGGCCCTAGGTGCTCCCAGATGGAACCAAGGTGGTCCCAACATTGCCTCGTAGGCTCCTTGCTGGCCTCCATGGCGGCACCTCGACGGCCCCAAGACGATTCGTATAGCCGTTTTGGCTCAAGGACAGCGTCGTTTGATTTTGTTCATCGGCTGCGTGGGCAGATTGCATCGAGTGCTTCAGACTCGCGATGCTTCTGTTGATCGTGTCTCTGCTGGGACACCCCGCGATGCTTCTCTTCCATGCGCTCCATTGGTCCGTGGGGGGTCACTTCGACGCCGCGGTGCTGGAGGCTCTGAAGGGCGTGCTACCGGAGTCAGGCCAGGCACAACTCGAGGTGCTCTCCGCGGGGGCACCCGAATGGGCGGCGTGGCCGTATCTCAATGGCACGCTCCATGCGGACTCGCGCCGCCTTTCCCAGCAGGAAGACGCAGACGCTCCCTGGTCGAATCCCCAGTCCAGTGAATTCCAATGGATACTGGCTGTGATCATCAGCATCGTCCTAACGTATGTCGGTGCCTTCCTCTACAAACGCGGGATCGTCGACAAGCGGGGGCCCTGGCAGGGCTGGGAGGGCAATCCCCAACTCAGCCTCGCGATCGCATGGAGTGGTGGCGTGTGGAGGTACACCTGCTGCGGCGACTGCTGCTTGCAGGACCACGTCTATTGCTGGTACGCCTGCCTCTGTCTCGGTGCCAGGCTCGGGCGACCACCTACACTGCGGCGAACATCGCCCCACCCCGTTCCTGCGTACGTCCACCCGTCCGTCTGGTTGGTGTCCAAGCCACACATACCGTGGTTGTAAGATACTCATGCCCCATGTGGTCAGTTTGTGACGCGGCTGGTCTGACGACATCTGGTCCGATGGTCTGATGGGCAAACGGGCGCATTCTTTCGCCCATAGTGCTGTGCGTCCTGGCTCGCTTTCCAGAGAATGAAGCTCCCGCCGGGTCGTCGGGGAAACCCGGAGCCCGATAGTCGTGGACGAAGACATTCGCTGCTATTGGTGGTTCCCCTCTGCATGGCCGTGCAGGAGGGCAGGCAGGTGACGAGATCCACCAAGTTCATAGAAACCAAGTGCTGCAATCCGATTGGGTGATGGAAACCTGCTCAAGCCCGTTTGCGAGGACTTACGGCGACCTGGACGGGCCCCCCCGGGGGCGATGCGGCCCTCAGCCGTGGTCGGACAGCCGGTGGGAGCTCCCGCGGTCCCAGTGAAGCTGGGCACGGCGGGGAAGGTAGCAGACCCCAAGTAGCAGCCAATCCCTGCCGAGCCCTGGCTGCTCTCCTGATCCGCTGTCCTTCCCGCGCGAGCAGTTCGTGAAGAACGCGAGTCATGGCCACCTGCCTTTTTCGGTACGCAGTCCCTCGGCGCCGCCCTAATTGGGTGGAAGCGTGGACTGGCCCGACGCTGAGGGCATGACATCTAACCTGTCCCAGCGAGATGCTCTGCCCCCTGTGCAGGCCTGGCAACCTCTCTCCGCCGGTGCCGCCGCCATGGGGCGGGCACGTCGCGCAGCATCTTCCTCGCACGTGCCAGCAGCCATCCATAAAAGCACTGGCCGCACCAGACGACGGCCCCAGAACGGCCCATCAGAGAGCGGATGGGCCGCCCGCTCGCGGCGCGGCGCGCCGGAGGGAGCGAACGGTCAGGTCAATCCTCCTGCAAGATCGTGGCTTGGGACAGTCTCGGGCCTTTGGGGGCCCCTGGGGGCCTCCAGAGGCACGGAGCAGGGAGGATCGAGTATCCAGCTGCCTACGGCAAGTCCCGCTCCCGTGCCTGGGCTCTGGGTGCAGCTCATTTTGGGGCCTCTTGGGGGCCTCATGGGGCCTCTTGGAGGCCTCTTGGGGGCCTCTGGGGGCCTCTTGGGCGCCTCTTGGGCGCCTCCTGGGGGTCCCTTGGGGCGGAAGGCTCGGACTTTCGGTTCGTGTTCCCTCTCTGGGGTCCCCTTTTGGGGCGGGGCTCTCTTGGGCCGTCTTGGGGCGCTCTCAGGCCGTCTTGGGGCCCTCTTGGAGGCCTCTTGGGCCGTCATGGAAGCTTTGGGGGGCCCCAGGGAGGCGCCATGGCCGCCCAGGGACCCCCTGGGAGTATGGCCGGTGCGCGCAACGAGGTGCGGCCTGGAGAAGGGAAGGGTCCCTTTACCGTAAGAAGAATTGCAGAACCCTACCAAACAGCACTTGCATTCTGCACCCCTCACGTGCCAGGGACACACGGTAGCGGATTCAGTGTTTGCTGAATGTTTTGCTGTGCCCCTTGGGGCCTCCTGGGGTGCCCTCGACGCAGGGCGGGATCCGCCTCGAAATATTATGGTCGGAGCGATCCCCATGAGGTCCGCAGAGGCCGACTTTGAAGCGGAGCGGATCCCGACTTCAGCGACTCGGAAAGAATCGCGCCGGAGCTTTTTCCCCATTTTCGGCGTCCAGGGGCGCTTCTGGGCCCTTTGGCTGTGGAGCAGGACTCACACTGTAAAGCGTTTCCTGGGCTAGGGGTCGAGAGTTTCGGGAGCCAGAGACTCGAGAAAATCAAGTCCTCTGAGGAGAGGCCTCTTACAGGGCCCAGTGGGCCTTCAAGGCGGCCCAAGACGGCCCTAGGTGCTCCCAGATGGACCCAAGGTGGTCCCAACATTGCCTCGTAGGCTCCTTGCTGGCCTACATGGCGGCACCTTGACGGCTCCAAGACGGCCCCAAGACCATTCGTACAGTTGATTTGGCTCAAGGACAGCGTCGTTTGATTTTGTTCATCGGCTGCGTGGGCAGACTGCATCGAGTGCTTCAGACTCGCGATGCTTCTGTTGATCGTGTCACTGCTGGGACACCCCGCGATGCTTCTCTTCCATGCGCTCCATTGGTCCGTGGGGGGTCACTTCGACGCCGCGGTGCTGGAGGCTCTGAAGGGCGTGCTACCGGAGTCAGGCCAGGCACAACTCGAGGTGCTCTCCGCGGGGGCACCCGAATGGGCGGCGTGGCCGTATCTCAATAGCACGCTCCATGCGGACTCGCGCCGCCTTTCCCAGCAGGAAGACGCAGACGCTCCCTGGTCGAATCCCCAGTCCAGTGAATTCCAATGGATACTGGTTGTGATCATCAGCATCGTCCTAACTTATGTCGGTGCCTTCCTCTACAAACGCGGGATCGTCGACAAGCGGGGGCCCTGGCAGGGCTGGGAGGGCAATCCCCAACTCAGCCTCGCGATCGCATGGAGTGGTGGCGTGTGGAGGTACACCTGCTGCGGCGACTGCTGCTTGCAGGACCACGTCTATTGCTGGTACGCCTGCCTCTGTCTCGGTGCCAGGCTCGGCGATACCTACACGGCGGCGAACATCGGCGGGCCCGGCTATTTTGCGTACGTCCACGCTGTCGTGGCAGTCTGGTTGTCCGGCCAGCTCATAGCCGTGGTGTGGAAGATACTCATGCCCATGATGGTCAGTTGGGACGGCTGGTCTGACGACAACTGGTCCGATGGTCTGATGGGCACGGGCGCATTCTTTTCGCATATGTTGCTGGCGGCCTGGCTCGCTGGCCAGAGAATGAAGCTCCGCGAGGCACTCGGGGACCCGGCGCCCGAGAGTCGGTGGACGAAGGACTTCTGCTGCTATTGGTGGTTCCCCTTCTGCATGGCCGTGCAGGAGGGCAGGCAGGTGGACGAGATCACCAATGTCCATACCAAGTGCTGCTTCCGATTGGGTGATGGAAACCTGCTCAAGCCCGTTTGCGAGGACTTACGGCGACCTGGACGGGCCCCCCCGGGGGCGATGCGGCCTTCAGCCGTGGTCGGACAGCCGGTGGGAGCTCCCGCGGTCCCAGTGAAGCTGGGCACGGCGGGGAAGGTAGCAGACCCCAAGTAGCACCCAATCCCTGCCGAGCCCTGGCTGCTCTCCTGATCCGCTGTCCTTCCCGCGCGATCAGTTCGTGAAGAACGCGAGTCATGGCCACCTGCCTTTTTCGGTACGCAGTCCCTCGGCGCCGCCTTAATTGGGTGGAAGCGTGGACTGGCCCGACGCTGAGGGCATGACATTTCACCTGTCCCAGCGAGATGCTCTGCCCCCTGTGCAGGCCTGGCAACCTCTCTCCGCCGGTGCCGCCGCCATGGGGCGGGCACGTCGCGCAGCATCTTCCTCGCACGTGCCAGCAGCCATCCATAAAAGCACTGGCCGCACCAGAAGACGGCCCCAGAACGGCCCATCAGAGAGCGGATGGGCCGCCCGCTCGCGGCGCGGCGCGCCGGAGGGAGCGAACGGTCAGGTCAATCCTCCTGCAAGATCGAGGCTTGGGACAGTCTCGGGCCTTCGGGGGCCTCTGGGGGCCTCCAGAGGCACGGAGCAGGGAAAATCGAGTATCGAAGACGCCTACGGCGAATCACCGCCGCCCCCTGCCTTTTTGGAAGCGCCTATGTGGCCGAACGTTGAGGCCAGACCTGCCAAGCTATCGGACCACGTGTTCCCCGAATCGGTTTGGAAAGCCTTCGGGGAACACGTGGGCATCTTGAAGGTCATCTTGGCCGTCTTGGAGGCCTCTTGGGCAAGCTTTGGGCGATCTTTGGGGCTTTTTGGGCCGTCTCGGGCCAGCTTCGAGCCAACTTCGGCCATCTTGGTGGGTTCCTGGCACGTCTGAAGCCGTCGGAAGCCGTTTGGGGGGCCTCTATGGGCCGACTTGGGGCCCGCTTGGAATGCTCCAGGGCCGTCTTGGAGGCCATCTTGGGCGTCTTGGAGGCCATCTTGGGCGTGTTGGAGGCCTCTTGGGCCCTCTTGGGGCCCTCTAGGGGCCATCTTGGAGGCCACTTGGGCCATCATGGGGCTCTCTTGGGGGCCTCTTGGGCGATCTTGGGGGCTTCTTGGGCCGTCTCGAGCCGTCGGAGAGCCGAAAAGGCGCAAATGCCAGAATCCTTCAAAAACCAATGAAAAATCAATGATTTTGGCCTCTTCGGACTCTCCTGGAGGACCTCTTGGAGGCCTCTTGGGCCGTCTGGGAGGCCTCTGGGGGGCCTCTTGGGCCGTCTTGGGCCGTCTTGGACTCTCTTGGGCCGTTTTGGAGGCCGTCTTGGACCATCTCGGGCGGACTTGGAGGCCATCTTGGGCCATCTTCGCGATTTTTTGAGGATGTCCCGAGCGAAACGGCCGTTTTTTGGAGGATGTTTTTCCGGATTGAGGTCCTTTCGGCTTCCTCCCGGGACCCCGGCGGGACGTGCCCACTGGGGGAGTTCTTTTAGAAAAAGAACCAAAACCAAAACCTGAAACGTCCAGCACGCCGTGCACCCCTGCAAGCAGGGGACGGCGGATCCAGCTGCCTACGGCAAGTCCCGCCCCCGTGCCTGGGTTTGGGTAATAAGCCTAGTGGATGTTCGTTGGAATCTCATGGCAGGTCTCTTGGAGGCAGTTTTGAGGCCTCTTGCAGCCCATTCTTGGGCCTCTTGGGGCCTCTTGGAGGCCTCTTGGAGGCCTCTTGGGGGCCTCTGGGGGCCTCTTGGGCGCCTCTTGGGCGCCTCCTGGGGGTCCCTTGGGGCGGAAGGCTCGGACTTTCGGTTCGTGTTCCCTCTCTGGGGTCCCCTTTTGGGGCGGGGCTCTCTTGGGCCGTCTTGGGGCGCTCTCAGGCCGTCTTGGGGCCCTCTTGGAGGCCTCTTGGGCCGTCATGGAAGCTTTGGGGGGCCCCAGGGAGGCGCCATGGCCGCCCAGGGACCCCCTGGGAGTATGGCCGGTGCGCGCAACGAGGTGCGGCCTGGAGAAGGGAAGGTCCCTTTACGTAGAAGATTGCAGAACCCCCTGCAGCATGTGGCGTGGCATTATACAACCCCTCAACGTGCCAGGGACCACCGTACGGATTCAGTTTGCTGACTGTTTTTTGCTGTGTCCCCTTGGGGCCGTCCTTGGTTGCCCTCGACGCCGGGCGGGATCCGCCACGAAATGATTATGGTCGGAGCGATCCCCATTGAGTGTCCGCAGAGGCCGACTTTGAAGCGGAGCGGATCCCGACTTCAGCGACTCGGAAAGAATCGCGCCGGAGCTTTTTCCCCATTTTCGGCGTCCAGGGGCGCTTCTGGGCCCTTTGGCTGTGGAGCAGGACTCACACTGTAAAGCGTTTCCTGGGCTAGGGGTCGAGAGTCTCGGGAGCCAGAGACTCGAGAAAATCAAGTCCTCTGAGGAGAGGCCTCTTACAGGGCCCAGTGGGCCTTCAAGACGCCCCAAGACGGCCCTAGGTGCTCCCAGATGGAACCAAGGTGGTCCCAACATTGCCTCGTAGGCTCCTTGCTGGCCTACATGGCGGCACCTCGACGGCCCCAAGACGATTCGTATAGCCGTTTTGGCTCAAGGACAGCGTCGTTTTATTTTGTTCATCGGCTGCGTGGGCAGATTGCATCGAGTGCTTCAGACTCGCGATGCTTCTGTTGATCGTGTCTCTGCTGGGACACCCCGCGATGCTTCTCTTCCATGCGCTCCATTGGTCCGTGGGGGGTCACTTCGACGCCGCGGTGCTGGAGGCTCTGAAGGGCGTGCTACCGGAGTCAGGCCAGGCACAACTCGAGGTGCTCTCCGCGGGGGCACCCGAATGGGCGGCGTGGCCGTATCTCAATAGCACGCTCCATGCGGACTCGCGCCGCCTTTCCCAGCAGGAAGACGCAGACGCTCCCTGGTCGAATCCCCAGTCCAGTGAATTCCAATGGATACTAGCTGTGATCATCAGCATCGTTCTAACGTATGTCGGTGCCTTCCTCTACAAACGCGGGATCGTCGACAAGCGGGGGCCCTGGCAGGGCTGGGAGGGCAATCCCCAACTCAGCCTCGCGATCGCATGGAGTGGTGGCGTGTGGAGGTACACCTGCTGCGGCGACTGCTGCTTGCAGGACCACGTCTATTGCTGGTACGCCTGCCTCTGTCTCGGTGCCAGGCTCGGCGATACCTACACGGCGGCGAACATCGGCGGGCCCGGCTATTTTGCGTACGTCCACGCTGTCGTGGCAGTCTGGTTGTCCGGCCAGCTCATAGCCGTGGTGTGGAAGATACTCATGCCCATGATGGTCAGTTGGGACGGCTGGTCTGACGACAACTGGTCCGATGGTCTGATGGGCACGGGCGCATTCTTTTCGCATATGTTGCTGGCGGCCTGGCTCGCTGGCCAGAGAATGAAGCTCCGCGAGGCACTCGGGGACCCGGCGCCCGAGAGTCGGTGGACGAAGGACTTCTGCTGCTATTGGTGGTTCCCCTTCTGCATGGCCGTGCAGGAGGGCAGGCAGGTGGACGAGATCACCAATGTTCATACCAAGTGCTGCTTCCGATTGGGTGATGGAAACCTGCTCAAGCCCGTTTGCGAGGACTTACGGCGACCTGGACGGGCCCCCCCGGGGGCGATGCGGCCCTCAGCCGTGGTCGGACAGCCGGTGGGAGCTCCCGCGGTCCCAGTGAAGCTGGGCACGGCGGGGAAGGTAGCAGACCCCAAGTAGCAGCCAATCCCTGCCGAGCCCTGGCTGCTCTCCTGATCCGCTGTCCTTCCCGCGCGAGCAGTTCGTGAAGAACGCGAGTCATGGCCACCTGCCTTTTTCGGTACGCAGTCCCTCGGCGCCGCCCTAATTGGGTGAAGCGTGGAACAGCCCGACGCTGAGGCATGACATTTCACCATGTCCCAGCGAGATGCTCTGCCCCCTGTGCAGGCCTGGCAACCTCTCTCCGCCGGTGCCGCCGCCATGGGGCGGGCACGTCGCGCAGCATCTTCCTCGCACGTGCCAGCAGCCATCCATAAAAGCACTGGCCGCACCAGAAGACGGCCCCAGAACGGCCCATCAGAGAGCGGATGGGCCGCCCGCTCGCGGCGCGGCGCGCCGGAGGGAGCGAACGGTCAGGTCAATCCTCCTGCAAGATCGAGGCTTGGGACAGTCTCGGGCCTTTGGGGGCCCCTGGGGGCCTCCAGAGGCACGGAGCAGGGAGGATCGAGTATCCAGCTGCCTACGGCAAGTCCCGCCCTCGTGCCTGGGTTCTGGGTAAGAAGCCTAGTGGATGTTCGTTGGAATCTCATGGCAGGCCTCTTGGAGGCAGTTTTGAGGCCTCTTGCAGCCCATTTTTGGGCCTCTTGGGGGCCTCTTGGGACCTCTTGGAAGCCTCTGTGGGGCCTCTTGGGCGCCTCTTGGGCGCCTCCTGGGGGTCCCTTGGGGCGGAAGGCTCGGACTTTCGGTTCGTGTTCCCTCTCTGGGGTCCCCTTTTGGGGCGGGGCTCTCTTGGGCCGTCTTGGGGCGCTCTCAGGCCGTCTTGGGGCCCTTTTGGAGGCCTCTTGGGCCGTCATGGAAGCTTTGGGGGGCCCCAGGGAGGCGCCATGGCCGCCCAGGGACCCCCTGGGAGTATGGCCGGTGCGCGCAACGAGGTGCGGCCTGGAGAAGGGAAGGTCCCTTTACGTAGAAGATTGCAGAACCCTACCAGACAGCACTTGGCATTCTGCCACCCCTCAACGTGCTAGGGACCACGGTGGCGGATTCAGTTTTGCTGAATGTTTTGCTGTGCCCCTTGGGGCCTCCTGGGGTGCCCTCGACGCAGGGCGGGATCCGCCTCGAAATATTATGGTCGGAGCGATCCCCATGAGGTCCGCAGAGGCCGACTTTGAAGCGGAGCGGATCCCGACTTAAGCGACTCGGAAAGAATCGCGCCGGAGCTTTTTCCCCCATTTTCGGCGTCCAGGGGCGCTTCTGGGCCCTTTGGCTGTGGAGCAGGACTCACACTGTAAAGCGCTTCCTGGGCTAGGGGTCGAGAGTTTCGGGAGCCAGAGACTCGAGAAAATCAAGTCCTCTGAGGAGAGGCCTCTTACAGGGCCCAGTGGGCCTTCAAGGCGGCCCAAGACGGCCCTAGGTGCTCCCAGATGGACCCAAGGTGGTCCCAACATTGCCTCGTAGGCTCCTTGCTGGCCTACATGGCGGCACCTCGACGGCCCCAAGACGATTCGTATAGCCGTTTTGGCTCAAGGACAGCGTCGTTTTATTTTGTTCATCGGCTGCGTGGGCAGATTGCATCGAGTGCTTCAGACTCGCGATGCTTCTGTTGATCGTGTCTCTGCTGGGACACCCCGCGATGCTTCTCTTCCATGCGCTCCATTGGTCCGTGGGGGGTCACTTCGACGCCGCGGTGCTGGAGGCTCTGAAGGGCGTGCTACCGGAGTCAGGCCAGGCACAACTCGAGGTGCTCTCCGCGGGGGCACCCGAATGGGCGGCGTGGCCGTATCTCATGGCACGCTCCATTCGGACTCGCGCCGCCTTTCCCGCAGGAATTAGCAGCCGCTTCCCTGGTCGAATCCCCATCGCAGTAATTCCAATGGATACTGGCTGTGATCATCAGCTCGTCCTAACTATGTCGGTGCCTCCTTTACAAGCGCGGGATCGTCGACAAGCGAGGGCCCTGGAAGGGCTGGGAGGGGAATCCCCCCCTCAGCCTCGCGATCGCATGGAGTGGTGGCGTGTGGAGGTACACCTGCTGCGGCGACTGCTGCTTGCAGGACCACGTCTACTGCTGGTACGCCTGCCTCTGCCTCGGCGCCCGGCTCGGCGACACCTACACGGCGGCGAACATCGGCGGGCCGGGCTACTTTGCGTACGTCCACGCCGTCGTGGCAGTCGGCTTGTCCGGCCAGCTCATCGCCGTGGTGTGGAAGCTACTCCTGCCCATGATGGTCAGTTGGGACGGCTGGCCTGACGACAACTGGTGCGACGGCCTGGTGGGCACGGGCGCCTTCTTTTCGCACATGTTGCTGGCGGCCTGGCTCGCTGGCCAGCGAGTGAAGCTCCGCGAGGCGCTCGGGGACCCGGCGCCCGAGAGTCGGTGGACCAAGGACTTCTGCTGCTATTGGTGGTTCCCCTTCTGCATGGCCGTGCAGGAGGGCAGGCAGGTGACGAGATCACCAAAGTCCCATACCAAGTTCGCTTTCGAACTGGGTGCTGTAAACCTCATCACCCGTTTGGGGCGAGGACTTTACGGCGACCTGGACGGTCCCCCCCGGGGCGATGTCGTCCCCGCCCGTGGTCGACATCCGGGTGGACTCCCGCGGTCCCCAGTGAATCTGGGGGCACGGCGGGGAAGGTAGCAGACCCCAAGTACAGCCAATCCTGCGAGCCCTGGCTGCTCTCCCTGATCCGCTGGTCCGAGGCGGGCGAAGCAGTTCGTGAAGAACGCGAGTCATGGCCACCTGCCTTTTTCGGTACGCAGTCCCTCGGCGCCGCCCTAATTGGGTGGAAGCGTGGACTGGCCCGACGCTGAGGGCATGACATCCAACCTGTCCCAGCGAGATGCTCTGCCCCCTGTGCAGGCCTGGCAACCTCTCTCCGCCGGTGCCGCCGCCATGGGGCGGGCACGTCGCGCAGCATCTTCCTCGCACGTGCCAGCAGCCATCCATAAAAGCACTGGCCGCACCAGAAGACGGCCCCAGAACGGCCCATCAGAGAGCGGATGGGCCGCCCGCTCGCGGCGCGGCGCGCCGGAGGGAGCGAACGGTCAGGTCAATCCTCCTGCAAGATCGAGGCTTGGGACAGTCTCGGGCCTTTGGGGGCCCCTGGGGGCCTCCAGAGGCACGGAGCAGGGAGGATCGAGTATCCAGCTGCCTACGGCAAGTCCCGCCCTCGTGCCTGGGTTCTGGGTAATAAGCCTAGTGGATGTTCGTTGGAATCTCATGGCAGGCCTCTTGGAGGCAGTTTTGAGGCCTCTTGCAGCCCATTTTTGGGCCTCTTGGGGGCCTCTTGGGGCCTCTTGGGGGCCTCTTGGGGGCCTCTGGGGGCCTCTTGGGCGCCTCTTGGGCGCCTCCTGGGGGTCCCTTGGGGCGGAAGGCTCGGACTTTCGGTTCGTGTTCCCTCTCTGGGGTCCCCTTTTGGGGCGGGGCTCTCTTGGGCCGTCTTGGGGCGCTCTCAGGCCGTCTTGGGGCCCTTTTGGAGGCCTCTTGGGCCGTCATGGAAGCTTTGGGGGGCCCCAGGGAGGCGCCATGGCCGCCCAGGGACCCCCTGGGAGTATGGCCGGTGCGCGCAACGAGGTGCGGCCTGGAGAAGGGAAGGTCCCTTTACGTAGAAGATTGCAGAACCCTACCAGACAGCACTTGGCATTCTGCCACCCCCCTCCACGTGCCTAGGGACCACGTGGCGGTTCGTTTTTGCTGAATGTTTTGCTGTGCCCCTTGGGGCCTCCTGGGGTGCCCTCGACGCAGGGCGGGATCCGCCTCGAAATATTATGGTCGGAGCGATCCCCATGAGGTCCGCAGAGGCCGACTTTGAAGCGGAGCGAGTCCAGACTTCCAGCGACTCGGAAAGAATAGCGCTGGAGCTTTTTCCACAGGTTTCGGCGTCCAGGAGCGCTTCTGGGCCCTTTGGCTGTGGAGCAGGACTCACACTGTACAGCGTTTCCTGGGCTAGGGGTCGAGAGTCTCGGGAGCCAGAGACTCGAGAAAATCAAGTCCTCTGATGAGAGGCCTCTTACAGGGCCCAGTGGGCCTTCAAGGCGGCCCAAGACGGCCCTAGGTGCTCCCAGATGGAACCAAGGTGGTCCCAACATTGCCTCGTAGGCTCCTTGCTGGCCTCCATGGCGGCACCTCGACGGCCCCAAGACGATTCGTATAGCCGTTTTGGCTCAAGGACAGCGTCGTTTGATTTTGTTCATCGGCTGCGTGGGCAGACTGCATCGAGTGCTTCAGACTCGCGATGCTTCTGTTGATCGTGTCACTGCTGGGACACCCCGCGATGCTTCTCTTCCATGCGCTCCATTGGTCCGTGGGGGGTCACTTCGACGCCGCGGTGCTGGAGGCTCTGAAGGGCGTGCTATCGGAGTCAGGCCAGGCACAACTCGAGGTGCTCTCCGCGGGGGCACCCGAATGGGCGGCGTGGCCGTATCTCAATGGCACGCTCCATGCGGACTCGCGCCGCCTTTCCCAGCAGGAAGACGCAGACGCTCCTGGTCTGAATGCCCCATTCCAGTGATTCCATGGATCTGGCTTGTGATCATCAGGCATCGTTCTAACGTATGTCGTCCTCCTTTACAACGCGGGATCGTCGACAAGCGAGGGCCCTGGGGGCTGGGAGTGCAATCCCCACTCAGCCTCGCGATCGCATGGATGGTGGCGTGTGGAGTACAACCTGCTGCGGCGACTGGCTGCTTGCAGGACCACGTCTATTGCTGGTACGCCTGTGCCTCCTGTCCTCGGTGCCAGGCTCGGCTACACCTACACGGCGCTAACATCTGGCGGGCGGCGATTTTTTGCGTATCGTCCACGCGCGTCGTGCAGTCTTTGTCCAGCAGCTCTAGCCGTGTTTGTAAGATACTCATGCCCATGAGGTCCTTTTGGGACGGCTGGTCTGACAACAACTGGTCCGATGGACTGATGGGCACGGGCGCATTCTTTTCGCATATGTTGCTGGCGGCCTGGCTCGCTGGCCAGAGAATGAAGCTCCGCGAGGCACTCGGGGACCCGGCGCCCGAGAGTCGGTGGACGAAGGACTTCTGCTGCTATTGGTGGTTCCCCTTCTGCATGGCCGTGCAGGAGGGCAGGCAGGTGGACGAGATCACCAATGTCCATACCAAGTGCTGCTTCCGATTGGGTGATGGAAACCTGCTCAAGCCCGTTTGCGAGGACTTACGGCGACCTGGACGGGCCCCCCCGGGGGCGATGCGGCCCTCAGCCGTGGTCGGACAGCCGGTGGGAGCTCCCGCGGTCCCAGTGAAGCTGGGCACGGCGGGGAAGGTAGCAGACCCCAAGTAGCAGCCAATCCCTGCCGAGCCCTGGCTGCTCTCCTGATCCGCTGTCCTTCCCGCGCGAGCAGTTCGTGAAGAACGCGAGTCATGGCCACCTGCCTTTTTCGGTACGCAGTCCCTCGGCGCCGCCTTAATTGGGTGGAAGCGTGGACTGGCCCGACGCTGAGGGCATGACATTTCACCTGTCCCAGCGAGATGCTCTGCCCCCTTTGCAGGCCTGGCAACCTCTCTCCGCCGGTGCCGCCGCCATGGGGCGGGCACGTCGCGCAGCATCTTCCTCGCACGTGCCAGCAGCCATCCATAAAAGCATTGGCCACACCAGAAGAGGGCCCCAGAACGGCCCATCAGAGAGCGGATGGGCCGCCCGCTCGCGGCGCGGCGCGCCAGAGGGAGCGAACGGTCAGGTCAATCCTCCTGCAAGATCGAGGCTTGGGACAGTCTCGGGCCTTTGGGGGCCCCTGGGGGCCTCCAGAGGCACGGAGCAGGGAGGATCGAGTATCCAGCTGCCTACGGCAAGTCCCGCTCCCGTGCCTGGGCTCTGGGTGCAGCTCATTTTGGGGCCTCTTGGGGGCCTCATGGGGCCTCTTGGAGGCCTCTTGGGGGCCTCTGGGGGCCTCTTGGGCGCCTCTTGGGCGCCTCCTGGGGGTCCCTTGGGGCGGAAGGCTCGGACTTTCGGTTCGTGTTCCCTCTCTGGGGTCCCCTTTTGGGGCGGGGCTCTCTTGGGCCGTCTTGGGGCGCTCTCAGGCCGTCTTGGGGCCCTCTTGGAGGCCTCTTGGGCCGTCATGGAAGCTTTGGGGGGCCCCAGGGAGGCGCCATGGCCGCCCAGGGACCCCCTGGGAGTATGGCCGGTGCGCGCAACGAGGTGCGGCCTGGAGAAGGGAAGGTCCCTTTACGTAGAAGATTGCAGAACCCTACCAGACAGCACTTGGCATTCTGCCACCCCTCAACGTGCCAGGGACCACGGTAGCGGATTCAGTTTTGCTGAATGTTTTGCTGTGCCCCTTGGGGCCTCCTGGGGTGCCCTCGACGCAGGGCGGGATCCGCCTCGAAATATTATGGTCGGAGCGATCCCCATGAGGTCCGCAGAGGCCGACTTTGAAGCGGAGCGGATCCCGACTTCAGCGACTCGGAAAGAATCGCGCCGGAGCTTTTTCCCCATTTTCGGCGTCCAGGGGCGCTTCTGGGCCCTTTGGCTGTGGAGCAGGACTCACACTGTAAAGCGTTTCCTGGGCTAGGGGTCGAGAGTTTCGGGAGCCAGAGACTCGAGAAAATCAAGTCCTCTGAGGAGAGGCCTCTTACAGGGCCCAGTGGGCCTTCAAGGCGGCCCAAGACGGCCCTAGGTGCTCCCAGATGGACCCAAGGTGGTCCCAACATTGCCTCGTAGGCTCCTTGCTGGCCTACATGGCGGCACCTTGACGGCTCCAAGACGGCCCCAAGACCATTCGTACAGTTGATTTGGCTCAAGGACAGCGTCGTTTGATTTTGTTCATCGGCTGCGTGGGCAGACTGCATCGAGTGCTTCAGACTCGCGATGCTTCTGTTGATCGTGTCACTGCTGGGACACCCCGCGATGCTTCTCTTCCATGCGCTCCATTGGTCCGTGGGGGGTCACTTCGACGCCGCGGTGCTGGAGGCTCTGAAGGGCGTGCTACCGGAGTCAGGCCAGGCACAACTCGAGGTGCTCTCCGCGGGGGCACCCGAATGGGCGGCGTGGCCGTATCTCAATAGCACGCTCCATGCGGACTCGCGCCGCCTTTCCCAGCAGGAAGACGCAGACGCTCCCTGGTCGAATCCCCAGTCCAGTGAATTCCAATGGATACTGGTTGTGATCATCAGCATCGTCCTAACTTATGTCGGTGCCTTCCTCTACAAACGCGGGATCGTCGACAAGCGGGGGCCCTGGCAGGGCTGGGAGGGCAATCCCCAACTCAGCCTCGCGATCGCATGGAGTGGTGGCGTGTGGAGGTACACCTGCTGCGGCGACTGCTGCTTGCAGGACCACGTCTATTGCTGGTACGCCTGCCTCTGTCTCGGTGCCAGGCTCGGCGATACCTACACGGCGGCGAACATCGGCGGGCCCGGCTATTTTGCGTACGTCCACGCTGTCGTGGCAGTCTGGTTGTCCGGCCAGCTCATAGCCGTGGTGTGGAAGATACTCATGCCCATGATGGTCAGTTGGGACGGCTGGTCTGCCCCACGGATCTGCGTGGTCTGAAATGGGCACGAGTACCCGCTTTCGCATATGTTCTGGCGGCCTGGCGCTCTGGCCTATAGAATCACAGCTCCGCGAGGCACTCGGGGACCCGGCGCCCCGAGAGTCGTGGACGAAGGACTTCTTCTGCTGGCTATTGGTGGTTTCCCCTTCTGCATGGCCGTGCGGAGGGCAGGCAGGTGGAAGCGAAGGAACCCATGTCCATACCAAGTGCTTCGCTTCCGATTGGGTGATGGAAACCTCTCAACCCGTTTGGGCGGGGGGGGGGGGGAAGGACTTACGGCGACCTGGACGGGCCCCCCCGGGGGCGATGCGGCCTTCAGCCGTGGTCGGACAGCCGGTGGGAGCTCCCGCGGTCCCAGTGAAGCTGGGCACGGCGGGGAAGGTAGCAGACCCCAAGTAGCACCCAATCCCTGCCGAGCCCTGGCTGCTCTCCTGATCCGCTGTCCTTCCCGCGCGATCAGTTCGTGAAGAACGCGAGTCATGGCCACCTGCCTTTTTCGGTACGCAGTCCCTCGGCGCCGCCTGAATTGGGTGGAAGCGTGGACTGGCCCGAACGCTGAAGGGCATGACCATTTCACCTTTCCCAGCGAGTATGCTCTGCCCCCTGTGCAGGCCTGGCAACCTCTCTCCCGCCGGTGGCCGCCGCCATGGGGCGGCACGTCGCGCAGCATCTCTCGCTACGTGCCAGCAGCCATCCATAAAGCACTGGCCGCACCAGAAGACGGCCCCAGAACGGCCCATCAGAGAGCGGATGGGCCGCCCGCTCGCGGCGCGGCGCGCCGGAGGGAGCGAACGGTCAGGTCAATCCTCCTGCAAGATCGAGGCTTGGGACAGTCTCGGGCCGTTGGGGGCCTCTGGGGGCCTCACCCCCTAGAGGCACGATCAGGGAAAATCGCGGATCGAAGACGCCTACGGCGAATCACCGCCGCCCCCTGCCTTTTTGGAAGAGCCTATGTGGCCGAACGTTGAGGCCAGACCTGCCAAGCTATCGGACCACGTGTTCCCCGAATCGGTTTGGAAAGCCTTCGGGGAACACGTGGGCATCTTGAAGGTCATCTTGGCCGTCTTGGAGGCCTCTTGGGCAAGCTTTGGGCGATCTTTGGGGCTTTTTTGGCCGTCTCGGGCCAGCTTCGAGCCAACTTCGGCCATCTTGGTGGGTTCCTGGCACGTCTGAAGCCGTCGGAAGCCGTTTGGGGGGCCTCTATGGGCCGACTTGGGGCCCGCTTGGAATGCTCCAGGGCCGTCTTGGAGGCCATCTTGGGCGTCTGGGAGGCCATCTTGGGCGTGTTGGAGGCCTCTTGGGCCCTCTAGGGGCCATCTTGGAGGCCACTTGGGCCATCATGGGGCTCTCTTGGGGGCCTCTTGGGCGATCTTGGGGGCTTCTTGGGCCGTCTCGAGCCGTCGGAGAGCCGAAAAGGCGCAAATGCCAGAATCCTTCAAAAACCAATGAAAAATCAATGATTTTGGCCTCTTCGGACTCTCCTAGAGGACCTCTTGGAGGCCTCTTGGGCCGTCTGGGAGGCCTCTGGGGGGCCTCTTGGGCCGTCTTGGGCCGTCTTGGACTCTCTTGGGCCGTTTTGGATGCCGTCTTGGACCATCTCGGGCGGACTTGGAGGCCATCTTGGGCCATCTTCGCGATTTTTTGAGGATGTCCCGAGCGAAACGGCCGTTTTTTGGAGGATGTTTTTCCGGATTGAGGTCCTTTCGGCTTCCTCCCGGGACCCCGGCGGGACGTGCCCACTGGGGGAGTTATTTTAGAAAAAGAACCAAAAACCAAACCTGAAACGTCCAGCACGCCGTGCACCCCTGCAAGCAGGGGGCGGCGGATCGAAGACGCCTACGGCGAATCACCGCCGCCGTGCCTCTGGGTTTGGGTAAATAAGACCTAGCTGGATGTTCGTCTGGACTCTCATGGCAGGTCGCTTGGAGGCAGTTTTGGGCCTCTTGCAGAGCCCATTCTGGGCCTCTGGTGTCCATCTTGGAGCCTCTTTGGAGGCCTCTTGGGGGCCTCTGCGGGCCTCTTGGGCGCCTCTTGGGCGCCTCCTGGGGGTCCGCTTGGGGCGGAGGCTCGGACTTTTCGTTCGTGTTCCTCTCTGGGGGTCCCTTTTGTGGGGCGGGCTCTCTCTTGGCCCGTCTTGGGGCGCTCTAAGGAACCGTCTGGGCCCTCTTGGAGGCCTCTTGGGCCGTCATGGAAGCTTTGGGGGGCCCCAGGGAGGCGCCATGGCCGCCCAGGGACCCCCTGGGAGTATGGCCGGTGCGCGCAACGAGGTGCGGCCTGGAGAAGGGAAGGTCCCTTTACGTAGAAGATTGCAGAACCCTACCAGACAGCACTTGGCATTCTGCCACCCCTCAACGTGCCAGGGACCACGGTAGCGGATTCAGTTTTGCTGAATGTTTTGCTGTGCCCCTTGGGGCCTCCTGGGGTGCCCTCGACGCAGGGCGGGATCCGCCTCGAAATATTATGGTCGGAGCGATCCCCATGAGGTCCGCAGAGGCCGACTTTGAAGCGGAGCGGATCCCGACTTCAGCGACTCGGAAAGAATCGCGCCGGAGCTTTTTCCCCATTTTCGGCGTCCAGGGGCGCTTCTGGGCCCTTTGGCTGTGGAGCAGGACTCACACTGTAAAGCGTTTCCTGGGCTAGGGGTCGAGAGTCTCGGGAGCCAGAGACTCGAGAAAATCAAGTCCTCTGAGGAGAGGCCTCTTACAGGGCCCAGTGGGCCTTCAAGACGCCCCAAGACGGCCCTAGGTGCTCCCAGATGGACCCAAGGTGGTCCCAACATTGCCTCGTAGGCTCCTTGCTGGCCTACATGGCGGCACCTCGACGGCCCCAAGACGATTCGTATAGCCGTTTTGGCTCAAGGACAGCGTCGTTTTATTTTTTTCATCGGCTGCGTGGGCAGATTGCATCGAGTGCTTCAGACTCGCGATGCTGCTGTTGATCGTGTCTCTGCTGGGACACCCCGCGGTGCTTCTCTTTCATGCGCTCCATTGGTCCGTGGGGGGCCACTTCGACGCCGCGGCGCTGGAGGCTCTCAAGGGCGTGCTACCGGAGTCAGGCCAGGCACAACAGGAGGTGCTCTCCGCGGGGGCACCCGACTGGGCGGCGTGGCCGTATCTCAATGGCACGCTCCATGCGGACTCGCGCCGCCTTTCCCAGCAGGAAGGCGCAGACGCTCCCTGGTGGGACCCCCGATCCAGTGAACTTCAATGGATGCTGGCTGTGATCATCAGCGTCGTTCTGACGTATGTCGGCGCCTTCCTCTACAAGCGCGGGATCGTCGACAAGCGAGGGCCCTGGAAGGGCTGGGAGGGGAATCCCCCCCTCAGCCTCGCGATCGCATGGAGTGGTGGCGTGTGGAGGTACACCTGCTGCGGCGACTGCTGCTTGCAGGACCACGTCTACTGCTGGTACGCCTGCCTCTGCCTCGGCGCCCGGCTCGGCGACACCTACACGGCGGCGAACATCGGCGGGCCGGGCTACTTTGCGTACGTCCACGCCGTCGTGGCAGTCGGCTTGTCCGGCCAGCTCATCGCCGTGGTGTGGAAGCTACTCCTGCCCATGATGCAGTTCGGACGGCCTGCCTGACCCGGCAACGGGTGCGACGGCCTGAGGTGGGGCCGGGCGCCTTCTTGTCGCAAATGTGGCTGGCGCCTGCTCGCTGGCAGCGTAGTGAAGCTCCGCGAGGCGCTCGGGGACCGGCGCCCGAGAGTCGGTGGACCAAGGGACTTCTGCTGCTATTGGTGGTTCCCCTTCTGCATGGCCGTGCAGGAGGGCAGGCAGGTGGACGAGATCACCAATGTCCATACCAAGTGCTGCTTCCGATTGGGTGATGGAAACCTGCTCAAGCCCGTTTGCGAGGACTTACGGCGACCTGGACGGGCCCCCCCGGGGGCGATGCGGCCTTCAGCCGTGGTCGGACAGCCGGTGGGAGCTCCCGCGGTCCCAGTGAAGCTGGGCACGGCGGGGAAGGTAGCAGACCCCAAGTAGCACCCAATCCCTGCCGAGCCCTGGCTGCTCTCCTGATCCGCTGTCCTTCCCGCGCGATCAGTTCGTGAAGAACGCGAGTCATGGCCACCTGCCTTTTTCGGTACGCAGTCCCTCGGCGCCGCCTTAATTGGGTGGAAGCGTGGACTGGCCCGACGCTGAGGGCATGACATTTCACCTGTCCCAGCGAGATGCTCTGCCCCCTGTGCAGGCCTGGCAACCTCTCTCCGCCGGTGCCGCCGCCATGGGGCGGGCACGTCGCGCAGCATCTTCCTCGCACGTGCCAGCAGCCATCCATAAAAGCACTGGCCGCACCAGAAGACGGCCCCAGAACGGCCCATCAGAGAGCGGATGGGCCGCCCGCTCGCGGCGCGGCGCGCCGGAGGGAGCGAACGGTCAGGTCAATCCTCCTGCAAGATCGAGGCTTGGGACAGTCTCGGGCCTTCGGGGGCCTCTGGGGGCCTCCAGAGGCACGGAGCAGGGAAAATCGAGTATCCAGCTGGCCTACGGAAAGTCCCGCCCCCTTGTCGAGGTTTCGGGGTATAAGTGTTAAGTGACACTCGGGCAGGTTGGTAGACGGGGAGACCTCTCTGGGCCCTTGGAGGCTTGAGGCCTCTTCGGGCCTTTTTGGGACCTCTTCCGCGGCCTTTGGGCCTCTTGGGGCCTCTTGGTGGCCTCTTGGGGCTCCTTGGCGCCTCTTGGGGCCTACTGGGACCTCTTGGGGTGGGAAGGCTCGGACTTTCGGTTCGTGTTCCCTCTGTGGGGTCCCCTCTGGGAGCCGTCTTGGGGCCCTCTTGGGCCGTCTTGGGCGCCCCTTGGGCCGTGTTGGGCGCCTTGTGGGGCGCTCTTAGGCCGTCTTAGGGCGCTCTTGGGCCTCTTGGGCCGTCTAGGAGCGTCGGAAAGCCGAAAAGGCGAGAACTCCCACATCCTCCAAAAACGCAAGGAACGTCACTGATGTTTTTGCCTTCGGGGGCCCTCTTGGGAGACCTCTTGGAGGCCTCTTGGGGCGCCTCTG